AAACACACTTTGAGACAAGATGAAAGAAAACGCACACGCACATGGTAAGAGCAGAAGTGGAATCACAGATGGAGCCTGGGAGACACCAGCCACAGCAGAGAGGAAGCCTGCCTGGGTGAGATGTGCAGACCCCTTCCTTCCTGGTGGTGCTGGTTGGGGTGTCCCCCAGCCTGACTACTGTTCTCCTACATGGAATAGCCCACTGTGCCCCTGACAGAACCCTGGCTCCATGCTCTAGGCAGATCTTGGGTTTCTATGCCACAGCTGATGAGGACAGTGTGCAAGCAGGCCTGCCTGCACTGCTCCTTTCTGTGGCCTGCTTCTGCTACCCGCAAAATGAGGACCTGAGAAATGTTCTGAATGCTGAGTGCTTCAGGCCCCACTGTCTTTCAGCCAATGTCCTTGAAAACTGTGAACTTAGGATCCATTGGTTCCCATCAGTTCTGTCCGAGATTCCACCCAAAGTCCTTATCTCTGAATGCCAACTTCTCTCAAGGTATTGGGTGCTCATTCAGGCTTTCAGACATGGCTGGGATGAGCTCTCTTAATCTGGCCTCTGCTATAGGGCAAGTCATAGTAGACTTTTGTCTCAGAGAGTTTTTTTTTTTTTTTCACTAGGCAAAAAATTGTCTGGAAATATCTAATATTCATTCAAGAAATCGGCTTCCTGGGCTTTCTTTCCCCACGTTCCTGCCGAAGTGCCTGCCAGTTACTGCTTCCATTCAGCTCCACAAGCCACATCCCAGTTCTCACTGGTGATAGTTTTAGGAAATAATTGAAAAGGCAGAACAGAAACTTGTAGCCTCACAGATCACCACCTCATTCCTTACCACCCTTGGCCTAATCACGTAGTATGAGCCGAATGCTCCGCACTGTCCTCTGTGCTATGGTAATATACAGCTTCCCAGTATCCATTTCTATATTCAGGGAGCCTTACGGCCTCATTGAGCAATGCTGGGGAGAGCTAAGTTGTCCTTCCTCATGCCATAGCCCAGCATGGCGCCAACTTGGTGGAGGACTTGAATGTATTTGACCTCTCCGATAGTCCTTCAAAGACCTGAAGGAATCACTATCTGCAGGCCGTAGACCTAGCAGGCCTAGGTCGTCCTCCTCTGGAGGAAGAGATAGATGGAATGTTGTTTGTGTGCACAATGAAGTATCATGTAGCCATAAAGAAAAAGTGGTGGTGCGGGTGGGAAAATGTTTGGAATTGGATATCATGTTAAGCCAAATAAACCGGACTCATAATGACAGTGATATCAGGTTTTCCTCTGGAGCGGAATCTAGGTTAAAAAATAAACACATGAAAGTGGAAAGTAGGCTGGAGAGAGAGCGCCATGGTTAAGAGCACTTACTCTTTCTGCAGAAAACCCAAGTTCTCCTCCTAAACCGAGGGGATGCTGTCCCACCACAGAAGTTGCCAAAGCATGCTGCACTGTCACGTGCAGACACACATCGTGGGTTCTTAATTATGCCTGCAATAAAGGAGGAAAAATTAGTTTTAGTAGACTATTTTAATGAATTATTAACAGATCTTAACCTTTGAATGAAAATTTTTTCCAACTGTGCATAGAGAGATGAGAGCTACGGATAGGACTCTGTTGCTCCAAAACAAGGATATTATTGATCCCGAGAAAAAGCCGTCTTCTGATCGTTTGGGTTTTCCCAATTCCGTTTGGCCCCCATAAGGTACCATTTTTGCATAAGTAAACAATTCAGACTTGGTTATGTGGTACAAATGAACTAAAAAATCAGCTGAGTGAGATGATTACATTAAGAACAACAGCACAACAGTGTACAGTCTTTTGGCAAATGGTAAAATTAGAGGTTTCTGGTATACATGAGAACAGGAAACTTACTTGCCTCTAAGGACCTGAAGCTTTCCAGTGAAGACTTAGTGATGCTTTGGTGGTGACGGTACTCAATGAAATTTGTCAACATTAGGTTTCCTAAAACTGAGTGAGCCAGTATTGTCTAAATGACCGGCATATCATCTTCTGAAATTAAGTATTGATAAACAGTTGACTCAAAATGTGAGGTAATATTGTAAATTTTAACATATCATAATACAGAAATTCAGATAGACTGAGATTCTGTATTGCAAGAAGACAATGAGAGCCTTTCTGAAAAATTACTCTTTGAATTTCCAAGTATTTATATGTGAGAGACTGGATTTTTCAGTTGCAGAAGGAGATGCAATAAAATAACTGTCTTATATTAAATACACCAAATAATTTTGCAAAAATGTACAATAATACCCCCTACTTTTAAATTTGTAGCTGTTGGTTAATCTATGTCACTCAATCAACATGTGGTGACTTGTATTGTTAAATGAATAGATACTTACATTTTCTCTCTTATATTGCTGTATTATCAATGGCATATGTAGTCTACATTTAAAATAAATCTCTTGAAGGTCTGGGGAAATGTCTGTCAGTTAAATCTGCCATGCAGACATCAGGACCAAATTTCAATCCTCAGAACCCACATAAAATGCCAGGCATCATGACTTGTGGTCTGTAATCCTAGTGATGGGAAGGCAGAGACAGGAACAGCCCTGGGGCTTGCTAGCCAGTCAGTCCTGTCAAATCGGTGAGCTCTAGGTTCAACAAGAAACCCTGTCTCAAATTATGAAGTGGAGAGTAGTAGAGGAAGACACTTCTGACCTCAGCACACATGTTCACACATGCATATACCATACACACACACACGCATGCATGCACGCATTTGCACTACTTGAACCCCTTGAATGGTCAATAATTTTTAGGAATATAAAAGGAATTCTGAGATGAAGAACTTTACCACCTCTTCCTCCTGAACCTTCCTGTTCTGAGTGGTGATGGGGAGGGAGACTAGGAAGGAATTACAAGCGCATCTGTAATAGTTTGGTCCCATAGTAGCCCCTGGAGTTCCACCTGATGCTCCATTAACCTTCACTCGTGAACATAGTTAGCTGCAAGGGAGCCAGGTAGAGTTGGTGAGCTCAGAAAGAAGCAGGGAGAGTGACGGTCTGACGGTCCCTGAACGAGATGGAATTGGACAGCATCGCTCCCCCTTTACTTGAAATGATACTCATTTTTGCTACTCACATCTGTCAGTGTTTCCTATCCTATAACCATTTTCCTTTTCTACACTTATCTGTGGAAGCCCTGAGTTCATGGACATTTTATTTTTTTACATAGAACCTCAGTAGGAAGCAGAGACTGTACTCAAAATCATGATCTTCCTGCCTCAGCCCCCTGAGTGCTGCATGCCCAGCTATGAGGTAGTCTTGACCTGGTGTTTAGTTGTATTTTTCTAGTAATCTGAACATCCCATGAGTCCATGTTCCCAACTCCATTTTACAAAAGAGTAGCTCTGTGAGACTGATGGTGACATAATAATCTACCCAACATTCTCTAGGGCCAGAATTCAAGTCAAAATTCCTCTTAGTCAATTTTCTCTCTTCTATTTCCATGTGCTGCTTCGTAGAACCATGATTGGCTAAGCTCTGAGTCTGCCTGTTTGATTGTCCATGAGCACTGATTAGTGTTTGTAGATCCTCTAACTCAGATAGTTTGGAGTCTCAGAATTTTTAATTTCTAGAACTGAATTTATATCACATTCTTGACTCATGTGTACAGATTTTTCTCTCTGTAGAAAATTTCCTGGTTGAAATATCACTGTTGTCTCATAATTGCACTCAGTATTATTCCTCGAATAAGGGGCTTACATTTCCAATCTCAGAATGTTAGCTAATAAATTGCCTTGTCAGGCTCTAGCATTTTATTTGTACAGATGTGTCTGCACTCCAGTTTCTAACTAGTCTAGTAGTAATGGCTGTAACCACTTCAGGTGCTAAAGGGAAATTGGCCACCACACAGTACTAACTGCTGCTGTTCTGCACGCTGAGGCTCTGTCTTCCTCCTGTAGCTCTTTTGCACTAACACACTGAAGCATTCCCTTGATTTTCATCTTACCTTCCATTTCCAACAACCCAGCTGTTTCTATGCATTTCTTATTCGTGCAAACTCTCCCACAGTTCTGACATTAGATGCTCTTCTGGTGTCTCCTGAGTTTAGCACCTATCCTAGTTTTGCCTCGGTTACTGTGATAAATACTCTGACAGAATCAACTCAGGGAGGGAAGGGCCTGTGATTGCTTGTAATTCCAGGTTGTAGTCCATCACCACAGGGAAGCAAAGGGGCAAAAAAGTGGGGCAGCTGGTCACATCCACATTCAAGAGCAGAGATGCCTGCGTGCTTGTGCGTCTCTCCCTCTCCTCTCCCCACCCCCCCCCAGCATATGGAAAGGTGCTGCCCACATTCAGGTGACCCTTCACACCTTCCCCAGCTCAAT